CAAATAAACCTAAACTAAACTAAACTAAACTAAACTAAACTAAACTAAACTAAACTAAACTAAACTAAACTACTTTTCATTTACACAAGCATTTTTTTGTCGCCACCCTAAGAAATTTCAAGATCACAAGAAGCGTTTATACTGCTTCGTAAAGCTTTGGTGAGACCAACGTGGAATATGGCATCCAATTTTGGTTGCCACAATATTGACAAAAAATGTGGAGACTCTGGAAAGAGCGCAGAGAAGAGCAACGAAGAAGGGACTGGAGGCTAAAACACATGAAGAAGGGAACTGGGCATGGCTGGCCTAGTGAAAAGAAAGACTAGCAGAGACATGACTGCAGGGTTACAATATTTGAGGGGCTCAGCCCATCCTCCAAAGCACCAGAACTCCAGACAAGAAGCAACGGATGGAAACTAATCAAGGAGAGGAGCAACTTGGAACTGAGGAGGAACTTCATGACGGTGAGAAGAGTTAATCAGTGGGACAGAAGTTGCCTCCAGAAGTCGTAGCTGTTCCATCACTGGAGGCTTTTTACAAGAGGTCGGAGAGCCATTTGTCTGAAACGGTATGGGGTCTCCTGCCTGAGCAGGGGGCTGGACTAGAAGACCTCCAAGCGACCCTTCTGCAAACTTCAGCTCCTCCGCAGGGTTGAGGCTTTCGCAACTCAATTTAATCCCAGCCGCCCAACTGCTCTTCCTCACCCTTCTGCTTCCTGATTGACTGTAACCGCAACGCTAACCAGGAGCAGCATTATGGATGCCAGGCTGCTCGGAGGTGTCCAGAGGAAGGACTGCCAGCTACTCAAGAGCTTACTCAGGCTCACCCGCGTGGCTTTCCAGCCCTCCTGGCTCCTCTCAAGCCTCTCCAGAACTCTTTCCCATCTCATGCATCCCTTCAAGGGGGCAGCCCTTCCCCATCGCTCCCTCTCCAGAGAGATTCGGAAGGAGTTTCTGGCTTTGGTGCACGGAAAACGGAGGGCGGGGCAAGTCTGATCATGATTGGCAGAATGCAAACAAGTCCTCGGCTTATGACCACAACGTGTGTTGCTCAGCGAGATAGGTGTCAAGCGGACTTTCCTCCATTTTATGACCTTTCGTGCCACAGTTAAGTGAATCGCTTCAGGTGTTACGTTCAGGTAGTTAAATGAATCCGGCTTCCGGCTTGGCGTTGCTTGTCAGAAGGTTGCAAAAGGGGATCACGTGACCCCCGGGACACTGCGACCGTCATAAATATGAACCAGTTGCCAAGCATCTGAATTTGGATCATGTTGTTCTGCCCCTAGGCTTCCCCCAAAAGCCCGAGGCAGAGTCCTGGTCCCGACAAACCCCTTTTATTAAACGGATGTGAATTCCTCTCCTTCCCATTCAGCAAAGGCCTGGCAAACAGTCTTTCAAAGGAGTATTTATGACCACAGACCTTATCTAGCTTGGAAAGCTGCCATGTCAATATTTCCCAAAGGAGGAGCTGTGCAAGGAAAGGCTGGGCACAGAGTCCCTGAGATTCACGGACAGATCTTCACACTCCTGAAACGAATCTAACCACCGAATAAACAAACTGCTTCCTGCAAAAGCCCCCTCCCCTTTCACTCCTCTTTTATTTCTTATGGGAGGGGCCATTCACCATCCACCTGTGGCCTTACTCCCAAGTCGACCCTGATTTCTGAGCTGTTCTTTTCTTCTGGCAGCTCTGCGCATGCGCACACTGGGAAGAGGCTCCAGCTATTCTTCCGCCTCGCTGCTGCCTAGCTCTGAAGGCAGTTGAGAACTGCCAGTCGACCTTGGCCCCATCTCTGCCCTCTGCAACAGCCTGCCCCGTCTTCAGTAGGGAAGAGCCACAGGGCAGATAACATCCTGCAGCCGAGGTGGCTCCACCCCCATTTGCACCACTCAGGTGACCCTGAGGACACAGAGAAACCCCCAAGTGGCCTTAAGGACCCTCCCAAAGGAGGCAAAGGACCCGATGGCTGAAAGGAGTATAAAATCCTTCCTTCCCCCACCATCCAGTCAGAGCCGAAGAAGCTTCTTGGATGAGAAGCGAAGCGTCTTCAAAGAAGAACCAGAAACTCCAGGAGCCAAGGTGGCGCAGTGGTTAAATGCAGCACTGCAGGCTACTGCTAGATCAGCAGTTCAGCGNCTCTCACACAAGTTCAGAAAAAACAGACGTGTTATATGTCCTCAGTACAATAAGCAGGTTTCATACATACCCATCACCAACATGCCATGTACAAAGGTTAAGTCAGTGTTTCTCAACCTTGGCGACTTTAAGTCCTGGGGACTTCAACTCCCACAAGTCCCCAGCCAGCTGTGCTGGCTGGGGGATTCTGGGAGTTGAAGTCCCCAGGACTTAAAGTCGCCAAGGTTGAGAAACACTGACTTAACCTTTGTACATGGCATGTTGGTGATGGGTATGTATGAAACCTGCTTATTGTACTGAGGACATATAACACGTCTGTTTTTTCTGAACTTGTGTGAGAGAAGTAGTTATTTTAGTATACACATAAGCAAATAAAAATAATCCCAACTAAGTGAATGCTGCACAAAACATGCTTAAGGTCTTATCTTTCTATAAAGAAAAAAACAGCCATTTTACTTTTCAAGTAAAGCATTTATTTGATATACACCTTGTTTTTACAAAAGCCAACTTCTATGTACACTGTCAATACATTCAAAAACTTTCAGAATATTCTTCTCTGTTATTCAGAATCCATAAAGAACGTTTCAAAGTCTTGATCTAAGTCCGATACAAGAGCTTCCACAAAATCTTCCACTGATGGTTGCTTCTGTAGCATACCTAGGAAATATGAAAGGGAGATAACTCAGAATGAATTGAATGTTGATTCTAAACACCTGATAAAAATTAACCATAACTGAAAGTACAAGTCCCACCACAGTAACAAAAAATAAATAAAAAAACATGGTAAAAAAACAACAAGTCCCACCACAGTGAATTGTCGTAACAAAGCTTTCCGGCTCTTCTGCCTTGAAACCTGGAATCAGGGAATTGAATTGGAAATGCCAAATTATCAACAACTAACACTTAATTCCCCAAATAGCAACAAGGGATTAAATCTACTATTTTTAAAAGAAACGTTAAGAAAATATAAGCCTGTCCTTCGTCTTGAACTATTCATTCTTCTTCCAAATATTTATCTTGCAATTCCATTTTCTAGAAACATGCAGTATTCAGATCTAAATCTGGAAAGCAGGTTTTGGATTTGATGTCCACTTCCACTTTATTTCTCAAACTTAATTTTAACAGGAGTGACTGAATAAAAATAAAGTTTGAGTCCCTTCGTCAAAGGAATGACTTGAGAACGGGGATCAGGCAAGCAGAATCATGGCCTCTCCGTCAACTACGAGATACCCACCCGGGGGAGAGGGGGGGGATGGGAAATGATAAATAGTTTTGATGCAAGTCCATGGAACATTACGCGGGAAGGGTCATCTAAGGAGTGGGCGGATGTTTCAGCTTATGTGTATTTCTTGATTTCGTCGTACAAGACTAAGACGAAAGCACCTCCCATTCCTCTGAGGACGTTGGACCACGCGCCCTTGAAAAACGCTTTCCCGCCTTCGTCCCGGGCAATCTTCCGCCAGCAATCGATGGTTCCGGAGTACATGATGTCAGCTGGGGAAAAAAAGGAGAATAATAATAATAATAATCAACTACATCAATCCGATGTTGGTGATAATGCAGGTTCCTTTACTTTGCTAGTGCTAAGGTAAAGGTTCCCCTGGCACATACGTGCTAGTCGTTCCCGACTCTAGGGGGCGGTGCTCATCTCCATTTCAAAGCCCAAGAGCCAGCGCTGTCCGAAGATGTCTCTGTGGTCATGTGGCCGGCAGGACTAAACTCCAAAGGCACACAAAATGGTATTTGGTATTTATTAATATTTGTATGCCGCCCTTTTCCCTGGGGGGACTCAGGGCGGTTCACAGTTCAGAAGCAAGGGGGGGGGACAAACCAAGTTACATATAGGACAGTACTTCGTTAAAAAACGCAACATTCATACTATTCGGGT